ATGGCACCATTTGCAGAGAGAATACAAATACTACGCGGCCCTTGCTGTGAGAAAGCCATAATCTTTGATGCTATGTCCTGCAAATCGAGTAAGCACATTACAGAAAGAATACAGTATATATGAATATCGAGTAATATAACAACAGTAGCCTCTGAAGACATGTTCTTAACCTTCTAAGGGTGCAACGGACAAAATACGACCATTACATCCCAAAACTTTATGCAATATGAGGAATATAACATTGCAAAATAGAGGTTACAAGTTTTGACTAACTTATAACCTATATCTTGGACTTGGGTGGTGCTCTGCTAATTATCATTTTCAATTCAAGAAAATTCCAAAACACAATCATACATAAAAGACAAAGTCAAATAAAAAGAAAGAATATGGGTATAGCTCTTAATTAGAGTTAAATAAAACATTTCGTAGCCAAGTACAAGCTCACTGTTCACATTTACATAATAGCTCAGCTGATGGCAGAGAATGATGGTAGCACTGCTTGAAATGGTGGGGAGAAAGTGTGTAGCACCGGAGAAGTTCAGAGCAGCTGAACCAGAATAAAGAAGGTAGTGCAGACCTAGAAGGCCGAGAAATTTCGCAGGTCTTTCTATGTTGTTCCAACTGTTGAACGGAGCTAAGGATGAGCCTAGAAGCAAAGAGAGAAATGAGCTTCGTCGAAGCTGTGAAGGGGAGATTGGGGCAAGGGATCTGGTTAGGGGGACAAGACCCTTTTCCAAGACAAGTCGAGCCAGATTTCAAATTTCACAATTTTGACGCCCAAAATGCAAACAACTGTCATTTTGGTGAAGCCCAAAATGCATAGAAAAAAAGTTATTTTGGAGACAAGGTGAAACCAATTGAGCCTTAATGAGGAAGGCTCAATTAATAAGGACAGATGGGCCGACGGTCAAACATTTTTCGCAAGCTGAGAAAGAAAAATAGGTCATAACCGGTTAAAACGATGGGTCATGGGTTAAAAATTTTGAGACCCACAACCGGGAGAATGTTGCAGAGACCGATGACCAAATGCATGGGGGAGGAGTTTGGTCGATCGGCAAAGGGGAATGCGGTTTTGAATTCCAATGGCAGAGAGAATGACGGAGGAGAGGGTAAACCAGCAGTGATCAGGAGGAGGACGTTTTCGCAGCGGTTAAGGGAGAGAAAATATCGTTCCAATGGAGGACTGCAATGAGGATGAATTCACAGTGGAGGATCCCACTAGATTTCTGGAAATGTTTCCAAAAGGAGGATGGGACTGTGTTAGTTGCTCCTATGAGGGAAGACATGGAGAAGCAAAGGAGGGAGCTGATGGCGGAGGAGGAGGAGGAGCAGGAGGAGAGGATTGGGTACCTGATTGAAGAAGAAAATTCAAGATGGTTACTCCAGAATACAGTAGCATGCTAGGAGTCTCTTTGGATGGTTTAGAGGAGCAGGCTACGGAATTTTTAAA